ATATATATATATATATATATATATATATATATATATATATATATATATAAGGAAGTTTCATTAAAGACGATTACCAAGGTACTGCGATTGAGCTTTTTTATTTAATTTTCTGGAATAAAGTGTGTAAAAACTCTCCGAATGTTCTATATATGCTAGCGCTTTCGGCTATTCTATTAGCCATTATCGTCAAAAATAACAACTCACCTGCAGAACAGGGTTTGGGAGAAATAAAAAAAGGAAAAAATTATTAATGGCAACGAAGGATATGGATTTGTGGAGACCCATGATCGCCTATGTCCTGAATCCGACACATAGAGAAGAAGTAATAATGGTGGATTTTGTTCATATACAGATTATTAACACCGGATTTTTTTTAAGTTAATAATTGGAACGATTTTTTATAATCTATAAATAACGTCGTTTTTTAATAAAATCCTATAAAAATTTTAATTTTTTATAGATGAGTAAAATGTTCTCTTTTCAATGCATTAATACTGAATCCAATTCTACTTGGGAACTCCATTGATGTGGCCTTGTACTTGGTTCAGCTTAAAATACTTACGTTCTAAGAAAAACGTACTGACCTGTGACTGAACCGATTTTTTTTCTTTTTTAGATATGCGTTGTGGCATAATTTGTGCTTGGCCTTTCAAGTCAAATGAGTCATCGTCAGTGTTGTCAGTAAGTAAAGAGAAGAAAATAAAATACATTTGTTTTAATTTCCATCTCTTTTCTTAAACACAGCCCTGGCGACGATTTAAGTTAATTATTATTAAAGCTATATCCCTCGATAGTATGTGTACTGCAATAACAAAGCATATAATCTTTGTTTAAATACAGACACGTAAAAACACACACACACACACACACACACACACACACACACACACATATATATATATATATATACATAATAACAATTTCTAACAATTTCTATCACTTATATATATATATATATTTATATAAGTGATAGAAATTGGTAGGAGGATTTGAGGTAATCATAATTATGTATATATATATATATATATATATATATATATAAATATATATATATGTGTGTGTGTGTTTATTTTATATATATATATATATATATATATATATATATATGTGTGTGTGTGTGTGTGTTTTACGTGTATATATATATATATATATATATATATATATATATATATATATATATATATATATATATATATATAAGTGATAGAAATTGCTAGGAGGATTTGAGATAATCATAATTAAGTAATTCAACGTGTCTAGAAGAAACCTCAACGGAATGTAGAACGCACTGGACGACCGTTTTGTCCTATATTTGAGACTCATCAGCAGTGCGCATCCACTACCGAGAATTGAACCCTGACCGTTACAATACGATGCGGGCCTTGGTGACGAAGTGGTACTCGACATAGCACCGCTCTTCACAAATTCCGTGG